GCCGATTGTGACATTGAATTATTGTGGTGAACCTGATTTGTTGAACGGATATGCAGTCGTCTTTCTGTATTGTGTATTAACTGTAACAAAAAGCGAGAAACTAAAGAATACAGGGGAAGCTTTGCCCAAATTTTCATTTGGTGCCAACAGTTTCGTTGCAGTGAACTGTGCTACTTTGAGTGTAGGTGTATGGACACATACCGAACTGCTGGGCATCACCGATTGTACAATTCTTGTTGTGTATACTACCACAGTGACAGGTCATTCAGTTTAGTGTTCAACAGAGGACTGTGTTGCTGTATGTAGACTAGATAATTCACTACGTTCAAATACCCATCATAGACTTCGGTCAGTCAAAAAGACTATTTTGAACTGTAGGCATTAATCAGCGATTCTGCCAATGACTGAGAGATACAATCTTTTAGACAGAATTATTTTCCCTTATGTCACGAACGACGTGAGCGAGCCCATATTGCGGCGTCATTAGAGCTGGATACTCACTCTGCATCGAGTGTAGATCAAGTCTAGCGTCTCTGCCTGGATCGCCTGCTTTTTTCCTGTTGAATTTCTGTTTGGGTTGTGGCCACTGCTTGGCATCCGACATTGTAGCGGGTAGGATAAGTTTTTCTTGTGATTTTTACTCTCGTGTCGTTCTCCCCTTTGTGTGTAAACTTTTTTTTCAATAAAACCCGGGCGTTGTGGCTTAATCACTTGTTGGTTTCGATATGTCCCTTTTTCCTACTGTAATTTGCTTCCCTCACACATGTCGTCTTCAGTTTATGCTTGATTTGTATATTTAGAAATGAATAGAGGTAATCACAGCAGCAGGGTTCGCTACCGTTTTTTTGGTCTCCTCGTTTTCCGAGTCAACTGTGCAGTGGTTATATTCAGAATTTACCAGCATAGAACCCGCATCCGAGAAATACTTTTGCTGTGTTCGGGGTTCGGGTTTTTTTGCCTTGAAAGCGTGTGTTTTTCACTTGAGTTCTCAGGTCTAAGATTTTTTTTCAGATCAAATCACTGAGACTGACCGCTTCACTCGTATTTTCACAGCAATATCGCGCATCCAGTAAAAAAAAACAGTTAAAGTGAGTTGCGTGTTTGGCATGAGTGGAAAGTCCTCACGCTCAGCTACCGGTGCTTCGTGTACCGAGATGTCGAGTAGGAGACCCGATTGTGGAGGTACCGATATTTTTTCTCGGTCACCCCCCACTGAATGGAGGGCATCTTCACAGTCTGATTTTTTTAGGCGGTGGTTTACCCGATTTTACCGGCTACAGCGAGGCTGTGCCCCTGGTGGCTTTCCTCTGTGTTATGGGTCCCTTTGTGGACTCTTCCTCACATGGCACCGGGTTTGCCGCCAAGTTGAGGGCTGTCAGGGCAATTGCGTCCCTGGAAGGCCGGGTAGATCAGATGCAGTTGGAGCGAGCAGTCTCCACTACAGCCCCCTGGTGAGCTCTTCTGAGGAAGCCCCCGTTCCCAGCCGCGGCCGCTAATTTGGGCGAGGCCTAGGCTCAGGCTAGTTGCACCTGGTCTCCTCTGGGGTCTCAGGCACTGCATGCCAATGGGGATGCTGGCAGCCAAGCCCCCGATTTTGGGGCAGGGCTTTCGGGTCAGGGCACATGTTGCACCTCCTCCTTACTTTCAGCCAGCCAGGGTTCGTCGTGCAAAAATGGTACAACTGTAACAAATTTACCCTTGTGTCCGGTCTCCGCCATGGGTTTTGACTCACCTCTTACCAACCCATGCGCGTATACCAGAGGGAACCGACCCTCTCATAAGATGCACAGTCGAACACATTTTCTCTCCCTTATTTAAGTGGATAGGGACTGTTGATCGGCCGCCGAGGAGGTAATGCTTAAGGCCACCGGATACAACCATGTGGCACCTTGTCACTGGAAAAATAAAATCACATAAAAACTACATAAGACGGGAAAAAGTGCTCTCACTACCCACACAAATCTACAATTATATAGATCACAAAGTTTTGACGCGATAAAAGTTCACATGATAATTGTTCAACATTCGATTGCAATCAAAGTTGCTTCGGGCCCCTTTCCGAACAGTAATAGTTCACCTACCAGCTTTGACAAAAGTGTGGTCACGGGTTGGTCTAGCCGTCCACAACAACGGTTCCTGCGAAAGAGGTCGGTATACAGCCAACAAAAGTAATTGACACCACCAACAGTGAGGGCGCCATACAGATCTAACCAATTACGTGTATGCACCAGTGCACAAAGACTAAGGGAATACAAACTGGCATAACCAGGGGCCGAAATGCAGCGTAAACATGGGTTACACCCTCCCTCTTCAAACCCAGGTCATCCCTGACCGAGTAAGCCACTCACACAAAGTGCAGACATTGCCCAACAAACTTTGGGCTGCAACCATCAGACTTCGGGTATCGTCCTTCAGACTTCGGGCATCGTCCTTCAGACTTCGGGTATCGTCCTTCAGACTTTGGGTATCGTCCTTCAGAGCCCACATATACACATATAGACAGACACACACCATACTAGCTGCCTACACACCCAGGGGTATGCGAGCAATGAAAAAACTGACAGACAAACCATGAAGTTACAACAACGCTAGTTTGTTTATTTCCAGAGGACGTGTATAAGGCATTCCACACGAAGGCAGAAAGAAACACAGAGCCGGAGGCACATGTCCTCCCGAAACTAACGAAACATATGATTGAGGGATATATATATATATATATATATATGAGTATAAAAAAACATCTAAAAGATGCTGCTCCAATGCCAATAGACTGCTCCGACCAAATTCAACGTGACGATGTTGCCTGCTGACCCTTCTCTCCAACCTCTGCACGCACAACAGTCCTGTTGATACGCAAGACATTGGCACCGAAGTCAACTATGCAGTTGAATTCACACAGCAGCGACGTGCCAATCACACCTTCAATAGAGAAGTAGCCAGACCCATTAACTTTTATGAGAGTAGAATTGGCCGCCCAGACACTACAACTAAATGGGATGGACTTCAGTGGTGGACTAAAGTGTGGCACCATGTCATTCTACATAGTGGTAGAGATGGCAAAATCAGTAGCCCCAGTATCAACCAAGAAGAGTCCCCGAGAACCAGCAATTGTAACAGGGACAGACATACACCTACGCATGGCTAGCCATAGGGAATCCTGCATTGGTCCACCAACTTTATTCTTCTTCTCCTCCTCCTCCTTCTCTTCCTCAGTCATCTGCCTGTCAGGAACTGTAGGCAGTTTCTTCATCTTGTTGCAGCTCCTCTTACCGTGGCCAAGTTCACCACAAAACCAGCACGGCATGACTTTTCTCCTCTCTTGCTCCGAAAGCATGTCTCGAAGAGGCCCTGGAAAAGGAGTAGGTTTACAGCTGGGACACGATGCCAGGGTCCTCTTCAGGTCCGCTATCTCCAGCCTCTGATCCCGAAGGCGTGAGCCTTTTAATCATATCTCTATTGCCTGTGGCAGCGATCTCAGCAGCATTGGCAAACTCCGCCTTCTCAGCCTGCGACATAACAGTCAAACTGAATCTTGTATCATCCATTTTGGTG